GAGGAGGAGGAGGAACGAATATGACATGGAGGAGGAGGAGGAACGAATATGACATGGAGGAGGAGGAGGAGGAGGAGGAGGAGGAGGAGGAGGAGGAGGAGGAGGAGGAGGAGGAGAGAGGAGGAGGAACATGACAAAGATGACGCGGCTGAGGATGAGGAGGCGGAGGAGGTGGAGGAATGGAGGACGAGAGGGGGGACGGGACGGGACGAGGCGCGCTTTCTTGTAGGCGCCAGCCATTTGCGCGAATGAAGGCGAGCCCGAAAAATAGGGGAGGGGTGGGAACATGTGAGGAGGGGGGGGGGCGCGTGCGTGGTTGGATGCGTCTGGCATAGTGGCCGTCCTTGCTTCCCTCCCCTCCTGACTCCCTTCCTTGCCTCTCTCCTCCCCTTCCCCTCTTCCTTTCCCCTCTCCTTCTCTCCTGCCGCCCCCGCTCCCTTTCTGTTCCCTCCCCTCACTTGCCATCCCCTCTTTCTCACGCTTCCCTAGCGTCATCCTCTGGCACTCCCCCCGCCCTTTTCCCTTCTCCTTTTCTCGCGCCTCTCTCCCTTCCTCTTTATTCCATCCCCCTTGCCCCGGGGTAGTGGAGCGCGCTTGCTGATTGCCTCTGCCGCGTTGCGACGAAGAAAAGTCCATCGCCCCCGTCTCATTTCCCACTTCCGATCACTTTCCCTTCTCCCTCTCCCCGTCTGTCCCTGTCCACCTCCTCTTCACCTCGTCTCCGTGGGAGGGGGAACTCGCGGGGTAGGGCAGCTTGCAGAAGCCGCAACAAGAGGCGGAGGATGTGGAGCCAGCTTGCTCACCCAGAGCGCCGGCCAAGGCGCGGGATTGTCTCGGGTTCTGGAGACCTTCCCCTCCCGCCATCGCCTTGCCTCATCCGTTCCCCTGCTTTCGTACCCTCTTCCCTCTCCCCTGGTGCCCTCTCTTTTCCTTTTTCTTTCCCTTGTATCCCCCTCCTTCCCTCCTCGTCCTCTCTTCCCCTGTTCCCCGCTTCCCCCTCCCCCTCCCCTCTTCCCCTCTTGCATTCGCCCCGTCCCCCTCTGCCCCCCTTCGTCGCCTCTTCCTGCGAGAGGGGGCCAGAGGGAAAGGGGGCTGCGGGGAGAAGAGGGAGCCTCAGGGGAGGGCAGCGGGCAGAGGAGAGCGTTCAGCCGCGAGCGACCGATGGGTAGGTTGACCCTGCAAGATGAAGGCCCCCCCTTGTGTCAGGTCAGTCTCTAGCTCGCCGCACCGCGTCTCCTCCAGCCTGTCCGTGCCGTGGTGACCTCGGACGTCCAATGACCAGCCTTGAACGCATGTGCCCGGCTTGCGAAACTGCGCCGGAGGGGCGAGGTGCTCCGCCGCGGCTTCGATCTCTCTTTCCACAGGGCCCGCGTGCCGGGCCGAGCGAAGGGAAGAACGCCAGTGGTAGGTACCCAGGAAGAGAAGGGGGGTGCTAACGTCCCCCCCCCGTTCTCATCCCGACGGTTTCGGTCTCGTCTTGCCCCTCTGCCAGTTTTGCCATCCCCGGCCACCTCCCTTTTCATGGAATTGTTGACACTTCGCGCATCCCCACCAGCCCATCCCAAAACCGATGCGCAAGCGTGTTGAGACGATCATGGAAGCGTAGAGGCAGAATGGGGGACAGTCGTTATCGTCTAGGGGGGAGGACGAGAGGGAGGAGGAGGAGGAGGAGGAGGAGGAGGAGGAGGAGGAGGAGGAGGAGGAAGAGGAGGAGGTGGATGGATGCATGGATGGATGGAAGGATGGGCGGATGGATAGATGGATGGATGGATGGATGGATGGATGGATGGACGGAAGGATGGATGGATGGATGGATGATGTAGGAGGGAGTGGGATGATGAACTTGCGGATGAGGAGGAGCAGGAGGAGGAGGAGGATAAGGATGAGGAAGAGGGCAAACAGAAGAGCCAGAAGCCTTTTGAATGTCTCTCGGAGTCTCTTCGGATGTCGCTTAGAAGCTTTTTTGGAGGTCTCTTGGGGCGTCTGGTGGGGCGTCTTGGCGGGCCGAGAGCCGTCTTTGGGCGTCTTGGGTGCCTCGGGGATCCTCTTGAGGCCTCTTGGGGGTCTCCTGGGAGCCTCTTGGAGGCCCTTTAGGCGCCTCTTGGAGCCGTCTGGGCGCCGCTTGGGGCCCTCTGCTGGCCCTCTTGGGAGCTTCAGGGGCGATCCTGGAGCCATCTTGGAAGACATCGATACGAAAAGAGGGGAACTCCAATTAGCCTCGCCCTTCTAGAGTGCCTGAGATCGCCTCTTGGGGCGCTCTTGGAGCGCTCTTGGGCGCTCTTGGGGCTCTTGGGCTCTCTTGGGCCCCTCTTGGGGCCCTCTTGGGCCATCTTGTAGCCATCTTGAGGCCTCGGATGGCCATCGGAAGCGAAAAGACGAGAACGAGAAGCACCATTGATTTTTCCTAGGGTTTGGAACGAATTGGGCCTCTCTGGGGTCTTCTTGGGAGGCTTTGTGGCCACTTGGAGCCATCCTTGGAGCGTTCTTGGTGCCTCTTGTAGTATCTTGGGAGTCATCTTGAGGCATTGTTGGGCTGTGTTGGGCCATCTTGGAGGTCATCTTGGGCTCTCTGAGGGGCTCTTGGAGCCGTCTTGGGCCATCTTGGACGCTCCAACTCCCCGCGGAACTCCCCTCCAGGTCCAGGGGAGGGGGTTGAGGAGGAGGGGGGTAAAGAAGGGGGTTGGAAGAGAACATTTCCCTGGACCGCTTACGCCAAGAGGGCTGGTGGGCTGGCGGGCCATCGGGGGTTGGGGGGCGCACCGGGCGCTGTGCAGCATTCGCCCACCTCTGGGCCTTTGGTGGGGAGGGGCTTTTCTTGTCACCGCGGCCGCACGCGCCTTGAGCAAGCTGTCACAGCGGTGTCCCGGCGAGGCTTGGAGGGTTGTTCCTGAGCGATCCTTGGACGGAAGATCGTGCAGTATCGTTCGAAGAAAAGAAGAGGGTACCCAAACGTAATTTCACATTCGGAGGTCCGCGCAGATTTCTGGCCGACCCAATAAAGCCGCGAGGACTTCCGAAGTCTGCGTTTATGTTAGTAGTTGCTTCTTCTGCTTCTTCTGCTATCTTGGTGGGGCGCGTGTGGACAGATCGGTCTGAGCGCTCCGCAGGTGCTACGGATGCACAAGACGGCCGAGGACACAATCGTCAGCCAGATGCGAAAGCAGAATTCGGGACACCGTTTCGAGCGCGGGGCGCAATGGGGGTGCCGAGTGCTGGCAGAGTTGCATAATTGGTGTGGCCGACGGGAATGTTGTGGAGGTGCAGCATTGGACTCTACACTCACCGAGTGCGTTCCACTACTCGCAAAGTGCCTACTCGCAAAAGTCTGACCAACTCATGTCTTCCTCGATGTAATAGATCGTAAATCCTTTGCGGCGGATCCTGGCCATTGGCGAGTAGTTACTTTGCGAGTAGTGAAACGCACTTGTCTAGGAATGATATGGAGTTGAAGCTTTGGCCTCTACACAGAAGAGCAGGGGAGTGCAGAAGCGCTGGGTCGGTCAGGCGGCAGGCCAGCAGTCGCTCATGGCGGGTGTGGCGCAGGAGATTATGTGGAGGGAAGGGAGGAGAAGGGAGAGGGGAGGGACAATTGAAGACAATCCTGCCTCGTCGTCCTCCTCCTCATGCTCTCTCCCTCCTCTTACCCCGCATACTTCCCCTTATCCACGTCGTCATCCCTCGTCGTCGTCGGTCGTCGGTCGTCGGTCGTCGTTGTCGTCGTCGCCGTCGCCGTCGCCGTCGCCGCCGTCGCCGTCGCCGTCGCCGCCGTCGCCGTCGCCGCCGTCGCCGTCGCCGTCGCCGTCGTCGCCGTCGTCGGCGGCGGTGTCGTCGGCGTCGTCGTCGTCGTCGTCGTCGTCGTCGTCGTCTGCGTCCTCGTCGTCGCCGTCCGCAGCGCCGCCCGGCCCCAGCCTCGCTGGCGCCGCGCCAGTTGAGAGCCATGAGCGAGGAAAATTCGTCCCGCGGCTGCCGCGCTGGGGAAGCGCGCCTCGGAGCGGGGCCTCGGATTCGGGACTCCCCTTCCTCCTCCTCCTCCTCCTCCTCCTCCTCCTCCTCCTCCTCCACGTCCAGCTCCTCTTTTTCCTCCTCCTCCTCCTCTTCCTCCTCCTCACCCTCCTCCTCCTCCTCCGCTCCCTTTCCCATCCCTTCCCTCTCTCCGTCCTTCCCTCGTCCTCTTCCATCCATCTCCTTGTGGATAACTCCTCCCTGTCGTGCTCCCAGACGTGTCGGTCGAGCGTTCCGCCTAATGTATGATCCTGAAGGTTGAAATCTGTAAGGTTTTCAAGGATGAAGGGCGGGTGGTTTTCAACGTGTGGCTCTCGTCTTAGCGCGCCGCCCACATCCGTTTCAGCAGTTCGCAGCAGCTTCAAGAATGGAGGGTGGTTTGTTTTCGAAATGTGGCTCTTGCCTCTGTTCAGCGCGCACTTGTTTTTATGTTTTGCAGCAGTTTCAAAGATGGATGGCCCGTTTCCAAAATGTGGCTCTCGCTTTAGCGCCGCGCCCGTTCGTTTTAGAAGTTCCGCAACATTTTTCAATGATGGGGGGTGGTCCGTTCGTTTTACAAGTTCTGCAACAGTCCTAAGGGTCCGTATGGTTGAAGTACCAGGAGTGGTGTCCTGGTGCGATGTAGGATCGTCTGGGTGCAACAGGCCGTTGATTCTCGATGCTGAAGTCCTGGTAGTGGTATTTGGCAGGAATTACGATGCCAGGGCGCACCAGTCACGTTGATTCTCGGCGTTGAAGTCCAGGAATGGTGTCTTGGCGCGGCAGAGGATTATCAGACTATTGCCTGCCAATCGGGCATTTATTATCGCAATGGAAACGAACTAGCCCATGCACGTGGAAGACTCCGCGGAATGAGCTCTGGTTTGCCTGGCGATGGAAACGGGGGCCAACCGGTTGACGAATCCAACGGCGACGCCAACCTTGGTGCTGGCGTTATCCAGCTGCGTACGGCAAGTCTCGCAATCGTTCTGATTTGTGGGCATGAAGCTTATTGGATGATCGTTGGGTTTTCGTGAGGAGCCTCTCGGAAGCCATTTGGGAACAGTTTGAGACATCCTGGGTGCCGTTTTGGTACATCTTGGGGCCTCTTTTGAGATTCCTGGCGGCCTCTAGGGGCCTCTTGGGGGCCTCTTCGGGCCGGGCCTCTTGGGCGCTTATTGGGCCCCCCTAGGGGTATATACTGGGTTTTTTGGTGCCTTGGGGGCCTCCGAAGGCCGCTTGGAATATATTTTGGGCCTCCTGGGGCTTTTCGGAGTCTGGGGGCCGCTTAGGGGCCTCTCGGGGCCACCAAGGCTCATCTTGGGGCATCTTTTGGGCTTTTGGCGGTATGCTCGGATGTTCGGTTCGTGCTCCCTCTCTTCGGCCCCTTTGGGGGCCGTCTGGGGTCCCTCTTGGGCCGTCTTGGGCGCCTCTCTGGCCGTCTTGGGGCGCTCTTAGGCCGTTTTGGGGCCCTCGGGGGTGAGGCAGCGCCCCAAGAGTGGGAGCGTTTACTGCCTGCTCGCCGCTATCATTTGGGTTCAGGGCAGCGCTGCCCAATCTGCATTCGGGTAGGCGCTGCCTGCTTGGACTATTTACGGTGGTGTAGGAGTCAAAAGGCCTTTCGCTCCTTATACCGCCACTATTTCGCCTTCCCGATCCTTCACCCTTTACGTCTATGATTTCTCGTACAGGATGGCACTCTGGTTTTGAACTTGGTAGCAGAGCTGTCGTAGCCTCGGGAGCTCTGCTCACCTCCGCCATCAACGTGATGACGTTCAAGGACACCTACGGAGACCACAAGCGCAGCGGAGGTTATCTGCAGGACTACACGAGCTACGCAGCTGCTGCGCTCTACATTGAGACGGCGGCGGGCTACGAAGTCACGGGCCAAGTCGAGTATGTCAAGCAAATTCGCCCGGCGGCACGCTCCGAGCTTGTCGGGGCTCCTCCCGGCGCCGCCGGTGGCGAAACTATATGCGACTCGTTTGTTAGCCTTCGGGGTGTTCTAGCTTATCCCGCTTTTGTGCAACTCTGGATCATGGTGTTGATCGCGCTTCCGCAGCGCACCCTGACGCCGACCAGAATCCAGGTGAGACGCTTGAATGCCCGTACTCGTGCGGTACCGCGCGATGACTCCTGGCGGAACCGTTGACCTGCACCTCGAATCCGGGCGGCGAAAATCACAAGGGAGGAGGGCGATGAGACGAAGGGATATAATCTTCGTGGATGCAGCTCGTTGCGTCGTGGACGCACGAGCAGCGGGGAACAGGTCATCCACTGCATCGACCGCCCATGCAAGTCCCATCGCCTCCTAGATCGATCCAGCTACGTTGCCGAAGCACTTGCCGTTGCCCGCAGCGTGGGCGAATGCTGCCTTAGTCTTCAGCCGCGACATGAGCTCATTAAGGGTGCCTGGGCCCCCCTGAGCTCGAACGCCGTCGTGAACAAGGTGGGCTCTGTATCAGCGTATCCCTGACGATTGATCAAGACCCCTGCTGAGAAGACGCTGCTGGCATATTAGCTGCGCGCGAGAATTCGTGAAACTTTGCGTCATGGATAGCCCGCAGTGGCGCGACGCCCGCGACATGGCAGCGGACGGTCGCACCAAGGGCACCGTCGACCGGGGCTTGCCTTTGCAGGTCATGGCCGGTTGCCAGAGGTATGTGGGCGAGATCACGTCGTGCGTGCCATGTCGTAACAATCAGTCTCCCATCTCCGAAAACTGATTGCCGCGGCTGCTCAAACACCCCGACGGGCCCTAGAGGTCTCAGGGATTGCTCAGCTGCGGTTCTGTGCGTGGGGGGGGGCGCTCTTCCTGACCCCATGTAGAGCTTCCGTGGAGCCGCGGCCGCTCTGAAGCGAGCGCTTTCCCGTGCTCCTTCGAGACGTGAGCGCGTTCCCGCGCTCCTTCGCTTTGGCTTTGTCCTGGAACTCCAGCTCTGTGCGTTGTTTTGGTTGTCGCGGCCGCGCGACCGCCACCAATCTTCTTGCGCCGATGCGGAATTCGCCCCACCGGTCCTTGCCAGGGCTTTCTGGGCTGACCATCAGGTCCGCCCAGCGCAAGCTACATCATTCCGGCTGCCCTCGCCCTCACGGGGTCCGGCGTTAGGGTGTTAGGGGGCATGATTCACGGGAGCATGACTCTATGCCTCACACCTCGTTTTTCCTCGCTATCGTTTTCTTGGTAACCATTTGCTAGTTATCAATATTTCTGCGCTAGTGCGCGCCTTGGGCTTGGAACCAGGATGGCAGCGGCCGGGCTGCATCCCCCGCTCGACTTTGAGGGAGCGCCCCAAGGGTGGGGGCGTTCCCTATCGCCGCTTTGATTTGGGGCTCAAGGCAGCACTGCCCCATCTGCATTTGGGTAAGCGCTGCCTGCTCGGACTATTTGCGGTGGCGCGGGAGTGAACAAAAGCCTTTCACTCCTTTTGCCGCCACCACTTCGCCATCCCTATCCTTCACCTTAACATATTCTATTCCCCAGGATGGCGCAGCCGCTTTGGACTTGGAGGCCTGTTGGCCCGTTTTGGGGTGGTCTTGGGGGCTTTCTGGGCCGTCTTGGAGCGTCGGGTCGCCGAAAAGGCAAGAACGCCCATATCTTTTAAACATCAGAGGCAAATCAGTGTTTGTTGCCTCTTGGGCCCCTCTTGGAGGCCATCTTGGGGAGTATTGGAGGCCTTTCGGGCCATCTGGAGGCCATCTCTGGGCCGCCATGGAAGCCTTGCAGAGCCTCAGGGAAGCGCCATGACCGCCCAGGACCCCCCGGGGAGTAGGGGCGATGCGATCGGCGAGGCGCTACCGGGTGGATGGGGGATGCCCCTGACTGCAGGAACCTGCCAGGCAGCTTTTGGCATTCGTCCACGCCTCGACGTGCGGCAGGCGCGGTGGCGAATTCACACGTCAGCCGCTGTCCTCCACGAGACGGCCAGTTTTGGTTTGGTGCTCGTCCTCCTGAGCTTCGCGCCGAGGGGTCTCTTCATGGTGTCCGTGTCAGTTGATCCGTGGACCGGCGGTATGAATCCTTGAGTTCCTGCCGTTGTTCTTTCTAGCACCGCGGAGAAGATCACAGGGATGGGCAGCTGCAAGGGCCTACAAGAACCAGCTACTGGTGCTGACCCGCCGCGCGACGCTGATGCCGAGCGACGCGCCCGCCGCCTCGTCCGCTTTGCGCGTGCTCCTTGATGTCCCATCCCCGTCGGTTTCCGGACTCGCTTCTTTGATTCCAGAGTCGAGTTGGGTCAAGCCATCTCGTTCGCGCCGCCCTCTGTGTCCCGCGCTCTCTCCCCCCTCCCCCTGGCGGGCCCGGGGGCGCCGCTGTGCTGCGCGGAAGCTGGGGCCCGCACCGCGCCCAGCGCGCCGCGGCAGGCCGCCGCGCCCAGGCTTGGCGGGCTCAAGCGCGGGTGCCGCAGGCGCTATTCCGAGCTTTCGCCCTGGGCGCCGCCCGGCCGGCGGGAGCGCGGCCCTCCAGGCGGCGTTGTTGGTTGGGCAGACGGCGTCTGCGAGAGCTGGTCTCGACCAACCTCTGGAGCGCAAGCAGAATTGCGAGCACGGTCCACCTGCTGCTGGGGCGCCGAGCGCCGCCGTCCGCATTCCAACAGATCCCCCGCGGGGGATGGCTGCCGGGCGGACGGCGCGGTGCACGCCGACCCCGTGGGCGGCGCGGAGGATGCCACTGGGGCGGCCCTGCCGTCAGTGGCGGCGGCAGCAGCGGCATCATGCACGGGTGGCGCGATAAAGGGCAGTAGCCATGAGGCACGTGCTGTTTTACTCGGAAAGAGTGTTCCGCGCGAGTCTTGTGCGGAGGCGTTGTGCGGGGCCTTTGGTGTATGCCCCTGGCACTGGATCCGCACGCCCCTGCCTCTGCAGGAGAAGGCCCAGGCGCAGAATAGGCACGATATACATGGTCCCCTTGCTCAAGACCCTTTGTGCGCCTTGTGCGCCGGCACTCTTTGCTCCGGCACTTCTTCTATACA